TCCTAATAAAAATATTTCTAATTAATAATAGTCATTAGTCTAAAGAATTTTACATAATTTTATACTGTTACTTTCCTCCTCGGGGGTGAGGAGGAAAGTAACAGATGAAGAGCTTGCGTAAAAGTTATACTGTGAACTGTCAATTTATTATAAATGTTTAATTCAAAATTTATTTAAAAGGTGAATGTCCAAGCTTTCATTTAATATATTGGACAAATTTATCCGACAAATATTTTTAATGCTAGCATAAAAAAACTGATTTTTGTTACTTTCCTCCTCGGTCTCCCCTACACATTATATTTGGCATATACATTTTGAATTGAGAGTTTCTTTATGAAAATCATATTCGAGACCAAAAAAACGTGTGACGGGTATCCTATATATATTTTTTAGATAAGAATACGATAAGATCTTTACAATGATGTTTCTTTTCACAGAATTTGACAGTCAGATGTATGAAAATATTTCTGACTTCATTTGATTATTTTTCATATATATGTGCACACTTTTGTCCAATTCGGTTTATTATTTGTGTTTTAATCCCGCGCGCGCGGAACATAATAAAGATAAATTTTTGTTTTCCACACAGGTATATATAATATGCATTTCCTGTTTTTTCAATTTTACTAATATTCTCTCTAAACCTGAATCAGTAGAAATTTTACTAATTCAATCAGTACTTTTCATTTTAACTGAAGTTTCAGTTATATTTTGAAATTTACTAATAATATAATTAGTGAATATGCAAGCAATAGAAAATAACTTATATGTAAATCAGTAATTTGTATATAACATAACCTTTAAAATTAACTATTAAATCAGTAGATTTTGTGGCCGCCGCCATATATTTATATTACTGATTCAATCAGTAATTGATATTTTACTAATTGAATCAGTAAATTTCTACTAATCGTCCAGTTGTTCACACAGAAAATTAAAAGGCATTAAAATAAGCTGCAACGCTTCTTATTTCAATCCAATTTTTCTTATTTTAATACCAAAATGGATTAAAATAAGCAAAATTGGATTAAAATAAGAAGCGTTGCAGCTTATTTTAATGCCTTTTAATTTTCTGTGCAATTCTCGCTATGATGGCAAATAGTAGATTTCTACTGCTAATCAGTAAAATATGACTTATTCAGATTTCGAGAGTTGTTTTAAGTATATATAGTTTAAATTATTTAAACACTGCAAAAACTGTCCGCCTTAAAAATGCAAAAAAAAGTCTCGTTTTAAGGAACATTTGGTGTCTTAAAAGTGAGAAACGTCTTAAAATAAGACCTTTTTTGCACTTTTAAGTCGGCCAGTTTTTAGAGTGATTAAATTTACTATAAAATTCACATCTGCTTTCCTTCATTTAATGGAATTTTAATAAAATTGTAATATTTTGAAGTAATATATATATATATATATATATATATATATATATATATATATATATATATATTAGGGTAATTTTTATGTTCCGGATCTCCTAAAATTTTTTTTTTAATTTCACATTTTTTTGTTTAAAAAACGAAAAAAAAAATGAAATTAAAAAAAATTTTTAGGGGGTCTGGAACATAAAAATCACCCTTTATATAGAAAAACTCAAACAAAGATCGGGGTTGTCTGCTTTACGCAGAATGACCCATTTGCATAATTTTTTTAAACCGAAAATTCATTTACCGAGGAATTAATTCTGTTAAATAAATTTTCGGTTAAAAGAAATTATGTAAATGGGTCATTCTGCGTAAAGCGGACAACCCTGATCTTTTATATAATATATATATATATTACAATATTAATACGATATTACAATTTTATCAAAAATCCATTAAATGAAGGAAAACAGATGTATAAATTTTATGTCGTTTGTTATATCATGCTATTAATTTTAAAGATTATAGATTAATTTTAACTTCAAAAATTGAAAAACAATTTTTAAATCAATTTTCATATACTTCGACCAATTTTAAAATATTTAAAAACATCGTAAAAGATATAGCAGAGATTCTGTATATATGTAGAAGCGCATCTGTAATAGTTTAAAAGTTATTTAATCGCTTTAAAAAAGTGGAGGTTGTAAACACGCACTATATAATTTAAAAGTGTATCAATAATTGATGCTTAAAATATCAAATTGATCCAAATAATTTTTATATATCAATTTAATATTTTTTGTGTCAGTTTGATTGTTTTTAAATTATAGTGTGAAATTAATTTAAATCTTTAAAATTAATACCGCATGATATAGCAAATGACATTAAATTTACTACAAAATCCACACCTATATATATTACACTTATATAGAGAATAATGTTTTGTTTGAACCAAATATATAATATATTTGGGCATATCTCTGGAACTTTTAACTTTTCAATAAAAGAAAAAAAAAATTCTTTTTTTCGAGCACAGTATTGAAACTCTGTCAACATAAACTTCAAGTACGAAGATTTCAAATTATATAAGTGGACAGATAAAATTTTTTGTCTTAAAAAAGTTATTAATTATTTAAAATTGCAAATTATTGTTAACCTAAAACAGAAAAGTATTCAACAGGTGGTTGATTTTGGAATGAAAAACAATGGAAAGGAAATTACTGTGAAGTTACAATTTTTTAAAAATGATAAAATTTGGTTAATAATTTCAACATTTATTTAAAATAAAATTCTCATTTTGTACACACGTGTTTTCTGTTATTAAAATTACAATAATTTTTTTAAGACACGAGGCACATCAATTTAATATGTCTCAAAATAATTCTAATGACTTGAACTTTAATTTCTCATAAGTTATTTTGGTGTGCCAATTGTCTTATCAAAGAAAAATGCTAAATAAGAGGATTGCAGTCAAAAAGGTTAAAAGTGAGGGACAACTTTTAAAAGCTTATAACTTTTTTTACAATTTACAAAATGTTAATTTTCTTGCGAAAATGTGTTCATCGTTTAATTAACTTTAAAATGACGTATCTTAGAACTGGTAATTTTTTTTAATAATAAAGTTTTATCGTTTAAAGCACCACAAAGTATGGTTAGGGACAAGTAGAAATTGTTGAAAATCGTGCATTGAAAATTAAATAATTATTTATTTATTTAATAAATTAATGTGAAACCTGTTGGAAATGATTGCTCGTATCAAGTATTGATTTTTCCAACAAAAACCAGGTAAAATTTCATTGGAATTAACAAAATATACGCGAGGGACATAATAGTTAAAAGTTCCAGAGATTTTCCCATTTATAAAATTATAAGGTATTAAAATAAGCTGCAACGCTTATTATTTTAATCCGATTTTGCTTATTTTAATACCAAAATGGATTAAAATAAGCAAAATTGGATTAAAATAATAAGCGTTGCAGCTTATTTTAATGCCATTTAATTTTCTGTGTTGGCGTAAATACAATTTTTTATTTAAATCAAATAAAAAGCTATTTAAATCTAATATAGATATATATTTATTATAGGCTGTGAGACAAATATATCATTTCACTGTGTGTAAGTTTAACGCTACTGGTTTACGATCCTATAGTTTCTACTTCTAAATACAAAATTTTAGAACTCATCTTCTCCTAAAATTCTTTTAAAAGAAAATTCTAATGAAATTCTACTCAATAAAAATTAGTTTAAATGGCTATTTAGTTAAATGCAAATTCAAAAAATTGTAAATTCTCAACAAATGCAAATTTGAACAAATACAAATGCGAACAAATAAAAATTCGATAAAATAAAAATTCTGTGAAGTAAATTTTCGCTTACATAAAAATATAATCGCGATTTAATGGCAATGATGTCAAAAAATAATTCAAACAATATTATAAAAATTCCAACATTAAATGGAAAATTGTAATTAGATGTTAGTTTTAGTTTAAATAAGAACTACTCCAAGTAGACAATCTAACCTTAATGTCACCATCGTGCACTATTTTTCATATCTTTTTGTTACTATGAAGATAATCAACGTGATGTGATCGAAAAGCTTATAATTAAGAAGAATATATATATTTTATACATTGACTTGACACTCTCTTAATTTGAATCAGTGAAATTTCACTGGTGAAATAACTAGAAGTCGGTTACTGAATCATTTAGTGAAATTTTCACTGAAAATCAGTCATATATCACTGATTTCCAGTGAAAATTTTACTAAATGAATCAGTCAATCTGTATTATCGGTAATGGGTAAAACAGATTAACTGATTCATTTAGTAAAATTTTCACTGGAAATCAGTGATATATGACTGATTTTCAGTGAAAATTTCACTAAATGATTCAGTAACCGACTTCTAGCTATTTCACCAGTGAAATTTCACTGATTCAAATTAAGAGAGCATGAAACTTATAAAATTTACACCTATACCTATATGATTAAATGGAAAATATCAAATAAAAACTCTAACAAATTAATATATGTTATAGGCATTATATATAATATATTATCGCCCTAACTCGACATCTCCCAAAATATCTCCATCAAAATCGACCTTTTGTTAAAATTTTTGCAAAAAGATGATCTTCGCAGTACATTTTCTTATTTATGCGGAGGAAAACCAAAAAAAAAAAAAGAAAATCGAAAATTCCCACATCAGCGGAATTTTCGACACACACTTCTCGTATATATATCATATATATATATATATAGAAATATAAGGAAAGGAACCCCCGTGATGTTAGAAACGGGGTGGGGCTTCTCTGTATCGAAGGGGTGAGTGTGTGGGCAAACCGGGATGTGCAGAGGGTAAAGGAATAGGGAAGCTTGTTACGGGCGTAGGAGGGATGACTAAGGGGAAACTTTGGCGCATCCGAACTAGTGAACTTTCTCCCCTCTCACAAATACAGATCCACACACATATATACTCTATTTCTCTCTCTCTCTCTTCTCTATATAGTCCCTTGAAATCAGAGAGAAGAGAGAGAAAGAGAGAGGGGGGGGGGGGTTTGACAAGAGGCGGGATGACACGAGCTTCGTCGTTGGCGGGGTCGGTTTTTCGCGGGGTACGGCTGTGATACGGCTTGTATTTTGAGGGGGAGTAAGATCGTCGAGAACGCAGGAGAGGCGCAGTCAGACAGTCAGGCAGGCCGCCCGGCAAGCAAGCAAGGCAGCCAGTGCAACAGCCAAGACCACTAGATCCGTTCGGCTTACCGACTTAGAGACTTAAGCCGGCAGGCAGTCCGAGAGGCTCAACTGGCTAAGCCTAGAGAGAGAACGAACCCGACCCACCGAACTCCAAGGCAACCATCCACCACCTACTACTTATACATCTCGTCATAGGCCATCTCGACCTACCTTTTTCCTATACACCTGATAACATTAGCTCTCCCTTGACCGCGTGTTAGCGTTAAGAGAGGAGAGAGTGAGGTTAAGCGCGTAACCTTAACCTCGTGTGTGGCGCGCTCCTTAACCTCAATTTCATTCCTCGATTTTCAAAAGGGTGACAATTTTTTCAAATCAGATCAAAAAATTTGATAATAGTTTCCTTCTGTGTGTTTGAATATATTATATTGTTCCAAATTGTGGGAGGATTTTGCGCGCTCTTGTGGGAGTTGATATTAGTCGCGAGGAGGGAAAAACACAGAGAGAGAAGACCCCCACACACGTGACGGTTTGTGAAGACTTGGTTTGTTTTATCTACATATAGTTGTTTGATGGCGAGGCATCAGCACGTGTGTTCCTTTTGTTCGGTGATTAAGACCCAATGGTGACACAGTAATCATATATATATAGTGATTGTTCAATTGTGCCTCATCGCGAAATTTATCAGTGCTTTGGAACTTAGCGATTTTCGATTATGTGAAGTGTATGCTCAATATTGAAACTCATTGTGTTTTAATTATATAGTGATGATCTGCTAATTCTCCACTGTTTCTTAGTTGAATTCTTTCTACTGGAATCTGTTACTGAAATCTGTTACAGAGATCAGTTTCAAAAATCTGTTAGGATCTTTTACTGAAATCTGCTACAAGAATCTGTTACTAAAATCTATTACAGAAATTGGTTTCAAAAATCTGTTAGGATCTTTTACTGAAATCTGCTACAAGAATCTGTTACAAGAGAATTAAGGGTGAAAGAGTTAATAGTTAACGAAAGCAAGAAGTACATTTGATAATATCATCGTAAGATTTTTGACAGAAGAGAGGGGTTACAAAAGGGTGAATATAAACCCAAATGTTTGGAATACAAAAGTATTCTTAAGTGAAGAAAAGAAAGAATCTGAAGGGTTGGAAGCGCATTGTAGAACATATCAATGATAGAGGGTCTTTAAATATCATATAACAAGTGCAGGAACTTGGAAGAATTGGAATACACACGGATTTATTAGAAAATATAAACTGTAGCATCGGAAAATCTTACTAATCCTAAAAATTATACGTATATATATACAAAGATACAACAAAATCGTACCAAAGCTTAAAATTATATTAAAGTACAGGTAACAGTTGCGTATATACAAAGTGACAGCGAATTTGTACCAAATCTAAAAATTATGTACCAAAGTACGCGGATATAAAAAGATACAGCAAAATCGTACCATAAAAATTATATATCAAAGTACCAAAGATACAGCAAAATCTAACCAAAACTAAAATACCAAAGAGCTGCAAACGGCAAATTCGTATAAAAAAAAAAAAAAACCCCAAAAATTATAACCAACAGAAATCCATATTTCTCATACAATACAACATTGGATTAGGAGATCCAATTGATAAATCCACAATTTTATATATTATTAATCTTGTGTTTGAAATTTGGAAAAAAGAAAAAAAATTTCTAAAACATTATGATGAATTGCATTTTTCGAGTGTAAATTAGTTTTGAGAAACGGAGGGAAAAATTTTTCCAAACCGATTTTTTGGTGAAGTGTTTGGAATTGTCGGCACGACGTTAACGTTTTACAGTATGGAGCGAGGCGAGGACGGGAGTAGCCTCGATCTCGCCGGCGGAACTGGAGGCAATGGAGAACTTTGCCTTCAGGATTTGGTTGGTGGTTCAGCTCCTGGATTGTCAATTCAACATCAGCATGTCGCTGCCACAATGGCTGGCCTTCATCCTGATCATATTCAAGGTGCAATGCAACATTTGAATATTCAAAATAATCATCATAATACATCAATGTTGCACAGCACAAATCATCAGGGTCATCCCGATTCGTTGGAAAAGCTTAAACGTAAGTTAAATATTATACAGTTTTTTTTTTCATTTTCCTATAGAAATTAAGTAATTCTTTCACAATTTGTTATTATTACAATAATTCATAAAATAACATGATATAATATCACTATTTTTTCATTCAAAATCAATTTTTTTTTTAAATCGGTGAAACGATTTTAAAATCTACATTAAAATACTATCCCAACACATCCACAAAAATTATAATGAAAAGGAATTTTGAGGGAACATTACATTTTTATTTAAACTACCGTGGCGTGTGGTTCTATTGTTATATTTATTAAGGTTGCGTTTAAGTTTTTTTGTTAACTTATATATATATATATGATCCTAAAAAGCGAATCAAAATGTATCTCAATAATTTGATACGCATTTTGGTATCAATTTGATACCTTCAAGTTAATTAAAATTGATCTTCGGGAGAATTTTTTGTATTAACAAAAAAAATTAAATTTCAACTTCTAAACTGTTTTTAAATTAAAAAATCTATATTAGTTTCTGTGTGATGTTAATAATCAAAAAATTCTGATTTTTTAAAACGTTTATGTTTTTCTTGATATAAAATACGCGTTAGCTAAAACTAAAACGCGCTCTAATTAAAAGAAGAAAAGATATACGACACTGAAGAAAGAATAATTATTGAACTTTATAATTATTTTACGATTCTTATATAGGGACAATTTAAGCGCGTTTAAAATAAGGGAAATTTTTCAAGAAATTTTAAACTTTAGAAAATTTTATACAAAACTTTTTATAATATTTTATAACTTATTATACATATATATAAGACTATATTATAGTTTATTATAAAAAGTTTTGCATAAAATTTTCTAAAGTTTAGAATTTCTTATAATATGTATATGAAAATTTTGCTTTTTAGAACATTCAACTTATAAATTGTTAAAAGTGTATACTTTTAAAAAGTTTGATAATTATTTTCTATCGGTGATATAAAAATTAAATTTTAGATATTTTGAAAAATTTTAAACAATCACAATCATTTGGTCTTAAAAACTACGTTTATTTTAACGATAAAAATCAACACGTGCTATATTAAAAAAATAATTTATATATATTTTTTGATTATATTTTCTAATGAATTTTAATATATAAAATAAATAATAATAATAATAATAATAATAATAAATAAAATAAATAAATAGAATAAATAATATATAAAATGATATCTATTAGAAACTATGTTATCAACTAAATAGAAATCTTGCAATATATATCTTTAAAAGTATAAAATTAATCAGATTTCGGGTTGTGATTAAAATATATAATATAATATACTTCATTGTTCAATAATTTTTTCTAAATTGAAGTTTTAATATATATATATATATAGATTTATTCTAAAAGAGTTTTTAAAAATTTTAATCGCACAGAAAAAAATATATATTTTTGCATTTCCCTCAGAGCTAAATAAATATATACTTAATTGTTTTAAATAAATTTTATTTTGATTTTCAAATAAATATTTTTATTTGTGCCAAACAACACTTTTTATTTGAAACAAATAAATATTTTTCTTTGTGCCAAACAATTTTTATTTGAAACAAATAAATAGTTATTTACCTATCTCTGAGAGGAAAAAATAATTTTTTTAAATAAAAAAATTTATAATTAAAATTTTTGTCTCTTATAATATTAAAATTGTTTTATCATAAAAGACAATAATTTTGTTTTAACTACTTTGTTGGAAAATCTAATTTAAAAAAAAAGAAAAATTTAGAAAGTGACTTAAAAAAATATCCTAGTTATTGCATTTATCCGTCGGACACACTGTTTATTTGCACAAATTCCATTGAGTAGAGAAATTAAATATAAAATTCAGAAAAAGAATATTTTTAACCCTAAAAATATTACAAAATTTTATGATTTTAATTTAATTCTCATATTTAAAATTATGTTTTGCAAAAAAAGTTTTTATTATAAAAATCATTTTCTTTATTTATAATGAAATTCACAATACAAAGAAACTCAGATTACATCTTTGGAATTTATTGGACATGACGAATAAAAAATTGAAATACACGAATAAAAAAAAAGGGAAAAATGAAAAAAAAAATTTAACAAAAAAAAAAACTCTTCCAGTTTTGTGACGAAGTTGTAACATTTTTGTCAGATGTCAGATAAATACAGATAAAGTTTTAGTACAGGCAACCGATAAGAGTCGTACGTGTCATGTTATGACACTGTTGGTACAAAGCAACTTGATAAAAAAAATTTTATTTCGTTTGTTGTCAGGCACTTTTTGAGACAAATTCTAAAAAAAGTTGAATATTTGGTTTATCGTCTTACAGACAATACAAATACAATACAAATATTTAGTTACATATAAATTATATATCTTTTTATTTTATATATATATGCGTTGCCCTTTACTAATAAGGGTGACAAATTTTTTTTTCTAAAAAAAATTCGTTCCGTTTTTAAAATTTTTTAAATCGTATTATACAATTTTGAAATAAGTTTCATTTTTGAAAACTTTAGTTATTTTTGTTTTTTTTTTCAACACAAAAAAAATTGCAATCATAACATTATATTTTTTACCGCGTAAACTTCTATAATTTGTCTCAATGTTTAACAACATTTATTGTTTGTAAATTTTGATAATTTCTAAGAACGATGTTCTTTTTCTGAATCTTCTTAATTGAGATGATAAATTTTTCACGTCAGATATGTAGGTTTACAGAAAAGTTCATTGCAAACATCATATGTTTCATAACAAAATGAAAATGATTTGTGATTTAACAGTTTGTGAATTTAATTTATCTTTTTAATTCAAATTATTGTAATTTATTTTTTTAATTATTTTATTTCTTTATTTTTTCTTACTATATATATATATATATATATTTTTTTTTTTTGTCAAAAATAACTGCGTTTTCAACACGAAAATGATTAAAATCAATCGCAATTTTTCTAACCAGTTTTTGCAGTTAAATTTTTTTTTTTAAAGTACAATATTTGCTCTCTAAATCTGAATAAGTGAAATTTCACTTAAAATGTGTCAAAAGTCTTCCACGTAGAAAAATAAGTGTATATGCACTTTTAAATAAGTGGTTTTCACTCAAAAATAAGTGAAGTTTCACTTATTTTTAAGTGCATATACACTTATTTTTCTACGTGGAAGACTTTTGACACATTTTAAGTGAAATTTCACTTATTCAGATTTAGAGAGTAACTTTTTGCTTTTGAATTAGTAAAAAATTAACTAATAGTGAAAAAAAAATTTACTATCCAATCAGTAAAATTTAACTAATTCAAAAGCAAAAATTTAGTTACTAATTCAAATTAGTTAAAATTTTTACTAATTCAAATTTAGAGAGTGCACAGAAAAAACCTGAATTCAAATTGAGTATAGATTCTATACTCAATTTGATTCGCAACAAAAATGAAACTGGTTGTTTCATTTCGAGTTCTAAGGTAAAAGTATCAAAATGAAACAGGCAAGTTTCATTTTGAGAAAAAGAAAAATGGAAAAATATTGTGAAATAACGAATAATTTTGCACAAAAACATGAAATATAATAATTACAAAGAAGTAAATAACACGCTAGACTTAATATATTTGATTAAAAATTGCTTGTAATCGCGTAATAAAATAATAAAGGAAATATGTTTTTAGGTTAGAAAAATGAAAACATGTGTTTTGACAACAGGAACGGTACTGCCAACTTAAATAATAGCGGTAAATTTAAAAACTTATGAAATTAATTATTATCTACGTAAATAATAATAAATAATTTTTATTTAAAAACTTCTAAATATTCGTACTGGTCAAAATAATCTTTCTGGTGTTGTTGAAATATTAGAAACAATAATTGAAATACAAAATTACTCTGCTTATGATGCCAACTTAGAAATCTGAAATTCCAGCCAATATCATTTTGAATAACATGAAGTTTGTCCCATATTCATTTCGATACCCAAAAGAAAATGAGTTGCAACAAAAATGAGTCCAAGTTTTTTCTGTGTGTAAAACTCGTTTTTTTTATAAAACAAGAGATATATTTACATTTTTATAATTTTTTTTTTTAAATATAAATCATAAATTGTGAGAACCAATCATATATATATATTTAAAATGAAGAGAAGTGCAATTTATATGACATTCCTGTTATCGATTAAGGGAAAAGTAGTATTTTTAAATCCTTTCGAATCTGGAGCATTTTCGGAACGGACGAAGACGTCCTCTCTCTGGTGGCACCGCCACCTGTTTTGTGATTCATTAACTCACCGGCTTATCGGGATAAGGCAGACTTATCCGGGGCTCGAACCCGACACCGCGGCTAAACCCGATCTTATTCCAATGGCATCCTATACCTATTCCCGTTACAGTTTCTGCTCTTCTCACTCTCTCTCTCTCTCTTTCTCTCTATTCCTTCGGGTTATAAACTCTTTTAGCTCGCAGTTTCAATTAATTTCTATTACTTATTTCATCCAATGTGACTAATTACTTTTTCATTGTTTTATCCTAAATTTTAAAATTTATTCCCATTTACTGATTCTTTCTGAATTTTTATTTAACCCGAATTTGTCAATTGATATAGAATTTTTAAAATGCCGAATTTTCATTTATCCGAAATTGCAAATGGCTACCAAACATCACAGAAAAAAAGGTGGGTAAAAAGTTGTAAAGATAGAGGATAAAAGTCGTTAGGATACAGGATAAAGGATAAATTTGTGATGGATAAAAATGTTACTAAAATATTACTAGAAAAATGGATGTCATATTTGAGTAAACTGTCTAATTTTAATAAAAGTATTAGTAATTTTACACTTAACTTATTAAATCCACAAATTTTATATAAATAACTAATTGCACGTGGAAATATTTTGCCTATAATTATTGTCTATTAATAAAAATATCTTTGACTAATACAACTGACAACTGACGACAGTGCGTAAATAATCAGAACTGGGAAATTACAACTCAACGTCTGTATTGTTGCACGAAAGCAGAGTTGGGTAGTAACTGAATTTTTTG